TCATCTCTAATTCGGATTCATGTCTGGTTTTAGCACCGTTTACAAGCTTTTCATGCGTAAACCACAAAAAAATACTCTGAACAATATCCTCAAACTATAGCATTTGATATTTCTGAATCAGAACAGGGACCCATAGTAAGTCATAGCCCCCAAGTCAGAGGCCTATAAATCCCCTGACACCAAACCCGGAGAGAAACCAGGGTTTCCATAAAAGTTATATTACTGATCGCCGTGTATTCCTTGAAAGGTATAAGACCCGAGAGTGCGTGTCTTTTAGGTCGATTTATGCACCAAGTAAAATGAAATGAAGGTATATCAAATTTTTCATCACTGATTAACCGAAGAAACGAAGATAATAGGCATTATTACGACGTCTCTATGATATTTCTATATAAATTATGGTTCTCATTTCCGACCAACCCAACCTCGAAGGTCAGAAAATATTAGAACCATAGATTTAAAAGGGATCCATTACACTTTCCAATCAGGGAATGTCAGTTATGTGGTTTGATGTATCATGTATTTTGACTGGAAGTCATGATTGGTAATGTTTTTACCTGGTACATATCATGCGCTTCAACATACTTTGTTTCGCCCAGCCTTAATTCATAGCAAGGCGCGATCTGCGGTTGCGTCGTTCCTGACAGCATTTTGATCGTCTCGTGGAATACTTAAATTCTTCGATCGGTATCTGGGTCTGCCAGAATCTCTCCAATACTGCTCACTTACATCATTCGACGGACAAACATTGAGAGGGAATTCCTGCTACAAAATGGGTTTCATCTGTCCCAACATTGCTGTGTGGATCATCGCAGTCATTTACCGTAAGTATGACAAACCATTACGAAACAAGTTATTGATGCATATTCGTCTTTACTGGTTCGTTAATAATTGTGATGGCTTCTGGAAATAGAATTTGTTTGGCAAGCCCTCGAGGTCACCTATATGAAGAAAGTTTCGATTCGGTCTTTGGAGTCTATCAGAAACTTTGCCAGCAGTTTCATCGGACAACATAGTGTGGTGATAGTGTTTTCTATTTATATATACCGTAAGCACTTTTCGTGTGAAGACCAATCAAGACTTAGTGACTCAGCAGTGGCACATCATTACGCCAAGAAATGAGTTTTTATCTCAGGATTTTTCTTCGGAAATGTTCCCTTTTTCGAATCAAAAAGCACATGCAATTGAAACGAAATTGAATACAAACGTTAACACAATGTAAACCATGAGTGCTACTCAACGGCATTGGCTGTTTCGACGAAAACGGTTGATTTTAAAGCCCATATGAATTTTCTTGAACTTATTAATTAACCGAATGATCGAGTTTCAAAATCTATAAGGACTATTTATGACGATTGAATGCTGATGTGAGAGAGCATTCGATTTTTTTAATAAGGTATTTTTTTTCATGGAAATGCGCTGTGTAACCCTTTACATTCCCCTTTTTTCAGAGCTGTGCTCCGCCCATCCCATAAGTGAAGAAGGTCCACCATTCAGCGAATCCAAGATAGCCAGCCTGTTTACGATTGGTACCAGGGTGGTACGTGGACCAGATTGGCAACATGGAAATCAGGTACAAATCCAAATGTCCATCGTTTGTCCATAAACTCAGTAAAAGTTTCTTTTCAAGTTCACGAAAGTCAAATGTGGTTTTTCGTTGCCCATGAACTGAAAACTTGTCACGTGAAATAAACGAAAGTTAGAGAAAGCTTTATAATAATGACCAACCATGGTGTATCTTCACGGGTTTTCAGGCTGTCTTTCAAAATCTTGATTTAATAGGCCCAGTCATTTTCCTTTTCCCCCGCTATAGTACAGTACTCCAGTCCGCCGACTGCCGTTAACTGTCGCCGAGAATACAAACTGGCTCCACTAATTTGCGCTGCAATAGCAGGGACAGTCTACTGCCTTGAACACAATAAAGCCACGTAGGATTATTTCCCAGTACCCGGAAAAGTGCAAACCGATTTAAGGACAGAAATTTAAGCTTGCCCCAAGCAAAAACAGAACTGGTATGAAATTATTGCACCTGAAATTGTATCGTTTGGAAGAAAACTAACATTGAAGGTGCATGGTTTCTAATATTGAAGGTGCATGGTTTCAAAATAATGTGCTAACTGGCCAATTGTTTTTCCAGCTAGATACACCCCCCCCCCCCCCCAAATGGGAAAAGGCTTCTCCGTTTTCTCAAACTGTATGCTATCTACCGTAGCTGAAACTTCAACAAGTTGTTGTTATAATGTACCCTATAAATTTTAAACAGTTTCGTTGCTACAAACTAATCGGAGAAAATGCATAAAAAGCAAATGATCCTCCTTTAAAGTGGTGTTGGTTTGTTTATTTACATTTTATTTGACGGTCAGTCGCTCAGTTGATTGGAGTATTATAATGCCATATATTGATTGCGGGTGTGTTTTTTTTGGGGGGGGGTGGGGTTGAATGATTGATTTGCTGGTTGGTAGAAATATACATGTAATATTTTATGCTAAGGTTCACTGCCTCCTCAAAACACAACTCTTTGTGGCAGGACGGTAATCCGCCTGGTGAGGGTAGCATCGTCACAGAACTCAGTAGCGGCAACGTTTACGTGTTATGGGACAATGGGCACAGAAATATTTATCGAATGGGAGCACAAGGGAAGTACGCCCTGAAACTTGTTGAGGATGCACCTATTCGTTTGGTTGACGGGGATGACGAACTCAGCGGTCAAGTGGAAATCAATCACGACTGGACCTGGGGAACAGTATGTGACGTCAACTGGGACATCCCGGATGCCATGGTCGTCTGTCGTCAGCTCGGCAACTTCTTAGAAGCTGTGGAGGTCAAGACGGGATCGTTCTACGGAGAGAGCGAGCGACCGATCGTGATGAACCGTGTGGCGTGTCGAGGGACGGAGAGTCGGTTGGCTGACTGCCTGTTTGTCTGTACCAGCTCTCGTCCCTGTAATACCTCACAAGTGGCCGGTGTGGTTTGCCGACCAAAACTCAGTAAGAAAGACCGTTACCACTCCTTACTATTTCTCGTATTTTAATACCAAAAACAGTTTGTCTTCACAGCAGGATTTCATTTGTCATTAAAATCATAATTAGGCACTATAGTTCGTCATTCTGATGAGACAGATCTTCATCCGATATCAAGTCTATCTTTTAATACTTCAACATTCTTTTCATCTTATTTCTTTTCCAAATCTGAAACATTCAACAGTATTCCTTATTTGTCCATGCAGTTAAACATGACTTTTAAAAAATGATGTAATTCAATCAATCGCTGTTTTGTTGAAGAAGAAAAAATCGAACAAAGTGTTTCAAGTTTAAAAGAAAATTATATTTGTTTACCAGATACGGTTCGGTTGTTGGCGATGGTTCGAACGCCGCCAGCGGACGCGTAGAGATCTACCGTGATGCGACCTGGGGACAGTTTGCGACAACGACTGGGACACGGATGACGTCCAGGTCGTCTGTCGTCAGCTGGGATTCTCCGGGGCTGTGGAAGCCAAGTCCGGGGATCACTTCGGCCAGGGGGAGGGGCCAATCCACATGGAGGGTGTGGCCTGTGATGGGTCTGAGAGTCAACTGGCTGACTGCCCGTCTCATTGCTGGCAGAAACCGGCATGTAGCCACGCCCAAGATGCTGGCGCCATCTGTCGTCAGGATGAATAAGGCATGAAACGGTTATCACGGCTTCGGTTGGTGCTAATATAAACATAATCAGCTGAAGCATTTATTCAAAGACTATGTATATTAAAGCAAATTCGTAATTCACAAGCTCATTCTATGATAGAATGATGTGTTGAAAAAAATCATATTTAGCTCACAAATACTCAAATTCAAGTTCGTTTAGTGTTAGGCCAAAAAAAAAAAATATTCGGTCTCTGGTCAGACCAAAGTTCCGGAATTGACGCGGCCACGCGGCTTTTTTTTTTTTTTTTTCCTTTTTTTTTTTCAGCTTGGATTGTACAGACAAGGTGGGTACTATTTTGCTTTTTTGGTGTCCTCATGTACATTGGTGGCCTCCATAATTTGCCTTGGTGTTTTCGATCATTTGCCTTGGTGCAATTTCCCATTCCTTGGTGCTCTTTGGTAAAAAAATTGAGGAGATGCGGAAATAGAGGGCGCTGTTGGAGCTACCGCGGAACATTTTGGAAAAAAAAAAGATCCACGCGCATGCTTAAAATCGACGCGCGCGCTGACCAGAGACCGACTTATTATTTTTTTGGCCTTAAGACAAATTTTTAGTCTATCGCTCTAGCAATACAGTCAAACAATTTACTATAGGCCCATATCTCCCCTGCCAATGCTATTTTTTAAATGGAGTAACGGACAAATATTTAAACTTTAAAACTGTTTCATCCCCTCCCCCCCCCCCAAAAAAAAAAAAATTGTCCTGCCTTTCGCGTTCCACGGTCAACTTAACTTATTAAAATGTCTTCTCTTACCAGTACTTATGTTGGGAAAATACTCCCTTAATCTTCAAAGGTTTCATCTAGAAACGTGATCTGGCCCACATCCCCTCCCTTGCATCCGGATGCTATCACAAATCGCTGGACACACCAATTACGTAATCGATGGGTTTGTCGAAACATTGGCTTCATATCCAATTCGGATTCATCTCTGGTTTTAGCACCGTTTACAAGCTTTTCATGCGTAAACCACAAAAAAATACTCTGACCAAAATACCTCAAACTATAGGATTTGATATTTGTGAATCAGAACAGGGACCCATAGTAAGTCACATAGCCCCCAAGTCAGAGGCCTATAAATCCCCTGACACCAAACCCGGAGAGAAGCCAGGGTTTCCGGAACCGTTATAATACTGATCGCCGTTTATTCCTTGAAAGGTATGACCCGAGAGTGCGTGTCTTTTAGGTCGATTTATGCGCCAAGTATTACTTGCCCGTATGCTTGGAAGTCCGGGATGAAGTGTAGATGTGTCCAAGTTTTCATGACTGCAACCGAAGATTAAGCATTATCATTATGGCGTCTCTTTTTATTTCTATGGTTCTCATTTCCGACCAACCTCGAAGGTCGGAAACTATGGGAACCATAGATTAAAAAAAAACATACTTTGGCGTCATAGGCCAAGTTTGGCCTGTTGCCATGTATCCAGATATAGATGAAGAAGAATGTCAGCTATGTGGGTTGATGTATCATGTAATTTGGTTGGAAGTCATGCGCTTGAACATACTTTGTTTCGAATACACTACATCAACAGTACTTCATAGCAAGGCGCGATCTGCGGCTGCGTCGTCCCTGACAGCATTTTGATCGTCTCGTGGAATACTTAAATTCTTTGATCGGTATCTGGGTCTGCCAGAATCTCTCCAATACTGCTCACTTACATCATTCGACGGACAAACATTGAGAGGGAGTTCCAAACAACAAAATGGGTTTCATCAGTCGCAACATTACTGTGTGGATATTGTCTGCAGTCATTTACCGTAAGTATTGAACTATTGATGCATATTCGTCTTTACTGGTTCGTTAATAATTGTGATGGCTTCTGGAAATAGAATTTGTTTGGCAAGCCCTAGAGGTCACCTATATGAAGAAAGTTTCGATTCGGTCTTTGAAGTCTATCAGAAACTTTTCTAGCAGTTTCATCGGACAACATAGTGTGGTGTTAGTGTTTTCTATTTACCGTAAGCACTTTTCGTGTGAAGACCAATCAAGTGACTCAGCAGTGGCACATCGTTACGCCACGAAATGAGTTTTTTATCTCAGGATTTTTCTTCGGAAATTTTCCCTTTTTCGAATAAAAAAGCACATATATACCATTGAAACGAAATTGAATACAAACGTTACAAAAATGTAACCCATGAAATGGAACTCTTGATCTGCATTCCTCTTAATGCTATACTCGTCGACATTGGCTGGATTTTCATTCAGTTTCGACGAAAACCGTTGATTTTAAAGACCATTTGGATTTTCTTGAACTTATTAATTAACCGAATGATCGAGTATCAAGATCTATAAGGACTCTTTATGACGATTGAATGCTGATGTGAGAGAGCATAAGGTATTTTTTCATGGAAATGCGCTGTGTAAACATTTACATTCCTCCTTTGTCAGAACTGTGCTCCGCCCATCCCATAAGCGAAGAAGGTCCACCATTCAGTGAATCCGAGATAGCCAGCCTGTTTACGATTGGTACCAGGGTGGTACGTGGACCAGATTGGAGCTATCCAAATCAGGTACAAATCCAAATGTCCATCGTTTGTTTGTCCATAAATTCAGTGATGGTTTCTTTTCAAGTTCACGAAAGTCACATGTGGTTTTCCGTTGCCCATGAACTGAAAACTTGTCACGTGAAATAAACGGAAGTTAGAGAAAGCTTTATAATTATGACCCACCATGGTGTATCTTCACGGGTTTTCGCCTGTCTTTCAAAATCTTGATTTAGGCCCAGTCATTTTCCTTTTCCCCGCTAAAGAACAGTACTCCAGTCCGCCGACTGCCATTAACTGTTCAATGACGTGGGTTAAGCCGGAGTGGGATACGGGCTGTACGATACAGTTGCCGAATGAGGAAAGGGGAAAAGCACCTTGTCTAGAACGTGTACGCGCCGGTTGCCGAGAATACAAACTGGATCCATTAATTTGCGCTGCAATCGCAGGGACAGTCGACTGCCTTGAACACAGTATAAGCAACGTAGGATCATTTCCAATTACCCGGAAAAGTGCCTATACCGATTTAAGGACAGAAAGCTTGCCCCAAGCGAAAACAGAACTGGTGTGAAATTATTGCACCTGAAATTGTATAGTTTGGAAGAAAAATAACATTGAAGGTGCATGGTTTCAAAATAATGTGCTCGCTGGCCAATTGGTTTTTTTTACGTGCATCAGCAACGGAATCCTTACACCCCCCCCCAAAAAAAAATGGGAAAAGGCTTCTCCGTTTTCTCATACTTTATGCAATCTACCGTAGCTGAAACTTCAACAAGTTAGTTGTTATAATGCACCCTTTAAATTTTGAACAGTTTTGTTGCTACAAACTATAGAGAAAATGCATAAAAAGCAAATGATCCTCCTTTAAGGTGGTGTTGGTTTGTTTATTTACATTTTATTTGACGGTCAGTCGCTCAGTTGATTGGAGTATTATAATGCCATATATTGATTGTGGGTGGGGTTTTTTTTGGGGGGGGTGGGGTTGAATGATTGATTTGCTGGTTGGTAGAAATATACATGTAATATTTTATGCTAAGGTTCACTGCCTCCTCAAAACACAACTCTTTGTGGCAGGACGGTAATCCGCCTGGTGAGGGTAGCATCGTCACAGAATTCAGGAGCGGCAAAGTTTACGTGTTATGGGACAATGGGCACAGAAATATTTATCGAATGGGAGCACAAGGGAAGTACGACCTGAAACTTGTTGAGGATGCACCTATTCGTTTGGTTGACGGGGATGACGAACTCAGCGGTCAGGTGGAAATCAATCACGATGGGACCTGGGGGACAGTCTGTGACGTCAACTGGGACATCCAGGATGCCATGGTCGTCTGTCGTCAGCTCGGCAACTTCTTAGAAGCAGTGGAGGCCAAGACGGGATCGTTCTACGGAGAGAGCGAGCGACCGATCGTGATGAACCGTGTGGCGTGTCGAGGGACGGAGAGTCGGTTGGCTGACTGCCCGTTTGTCTGTACCAGCTCTCGTCCCTGTAATACCTCACAAGTGGCCGGGGTGGTTTGCCAACCAAAACTCAGTAAGAAAGACCGTTACCACTATTTCTCGTATTTTAATACCAAAACAGTTTGTCTTCACAGCAGGATTTCATTTGTCATTAAAATCATAATTATAGGCACTATATAGTTCGTCATTCTGATGAGACAGATCTTCATCCGATATCAAGTCTATCTTTTAATACTTCAACTTTCTTTTCATCTTATTTCTTTTCCAAATCTGAAACATTCAACAGTATTCCTTATTTGTCCATGCAGTTAAACATGACTTTAAAAAAATGATATAATTCAATCAATCGCTTTTGTTAAAAACAAAAAATTCAAACAAAGTGTTTCAAGTTTTAAAGAAAGTTATATTTGTTTACCAGATAAGGTTCGGTTGGTTGGCGATGGTTCGAACGCCGCCAGCGGACGAGTAGAGATTTACCGTGATGCGACCTGGGGGACAGTTTGCGACAATGACTGGGACACGGATGACGTCCAGGTCGTCTGTCGTCAGCTGGGATTCTCCGGGGCTGTGGAAGCCAAGTCCGGGGCTCACTTCGGCCAGGGGGAGGGGCCAATCCACATGAAGGGAGTGACCTGTGATGGGTCTGAGAGTCTACTGGCTGACTGCCCGACTCATTGCTGGCAGAAACCGGCATGTAGCCACGCCCAAGATGCTGGCGCCATCTGTCGTCAGGATGAGGATGAATAAGCCACGGAGAGTTACTTATTTAGAAACATGCAGTTATTATGCTTTAGTTTGACGCTATTAATCTGTATAGCAGCATGTATTCTCATGCAGGTAGTGCATGTATAACCGAACTATGAACACTTCATGACAGAGGTGTTGAAAAGATGCACGTATTTAGCTTATTGACTATATTTGAGGATAGCTGGCAAGTATGTACATAGGCCTACACAGTGGCGCACCCAAGGTGGGGGCTCGGGGGCTTCCCCCCCCCCCCCCCCAAGAGGTTGTCAATTTTGGGGGGTTTTGGCAATTTTTTTTTAGCCCCATGATTTGACCTTGGTGATATTGGCCTATTTGCAAGCAGTATAATGGCGCCACCAACGTCAAAATAGTCCCCCCCCCCCAAAAAAAAAAAAAAACTGCGGCCATAAATTTTGGGCAATATTTTTTGAAAAAATTAACTGCTCAAAATATGAAGAAAAAAAACATTGTGAGCCCCCCCCCCCCCCAGCCAAATCCTGGAGTGCGCCACTGTACATACATTCATTTTTCTAAACACTCTCTTGCCATCTGTTTGTAAACATGTTTGAATACTACACAACGTTCAAATATTTAACATTTTTAGAATATTGATGGGGTAGTGTTTAGCAATTGCACATTGATGTTTAGGAGTTGGACACGTACTGTTAAGCATCTAAACATAATTATGTTTACAAAAAGATAGCAAGATTCAGTTAATTTGCTAAACACAATTTTTAGGAGTGTACTCTGCATGCTTTCATGAACAAAATAAAGTAACTATTAAAACTTAAAAGATGTCTTACTTTTTCCCAGTTGTGTTGCCTCCAAGTAAAAACTAAAAGATCTTCTTCTTTTTATTACAAAAAGATATTTTCGTTCCCCGAAGGTTGTTCCCAGAAACCTGTCCCTCCCTATTCGGGTGCCGATAGCTGGTAAAGTTAACTGTCGAAAGAAACTAAATGACTGACTGCGGTTTATACCTTGAAAGATTAAGACTTTGCGAACATGTGCGTTCAGGGTAGCAAAACATGTATCATTCCCGTGTTTTATATGCCGCGTATTCCCTAGAGCAGGTATTTAAAATGCCGAAAGAATCGAACAATGTCAAATTCGTACGTCAGAAATAAAACCATTCGCGTTTACATTGAGAATTGCAATTATTCTTGCATGTGCGCTCATGTATCCTGGAACGCGGCTACATATTTCATGAATGTTACTTCTTTTTTTACATTCAAAGATTGCTTGGAATCTCCTATAGCATTAATTTATGGCAAGTTGCAAATTCCGGAAGAGCTGCTGATACGACTATATGATAGTTCTCGTCTGGCTTTGCTGGAATTTTTCCAAACGGCTCACTTTAACGATCAGACGAACAGTGAGATGAGAGGGAGAACCCAACAAAATTAGTTTCATCAGTCGCAACATTGTTGTGTGGCTACTGTCTGCAGGGGGCTGTACCGTAAGTATGACAAACTATTTTGTCTACTAATTATTGCGAGTCCAAGGGCGTCAATCACTTCTCAAAAGTGGGGGGGGGGGACATACCTTGATCAAAGCGAAGTCCTAACGGTAGTTCGGGGCCCACTTTAGGGCCCCGGAAAATTTAGGAATCTAGACGTGCGATATGTGGCAATTTTTTGACCATTTTAACAAATTTTTTGAGCAACAGATCATCATTAAAACATCATTTTCGACTTTGGAGTCATTGAATCAGCTATTCTGAGCTACAGAATCAAATGTAGGCATGGGCGTCGCCAGGATTTTTTCTAGAGGGGGGCAAAAAAAATGTTTGCCAAAAAATGCTTGTATTTCTCAAAACATTCTCGATTTATCAGTTTTAGAGGGGGCAGGGACATTCCCCCCCCCCCCCCAACTCATTAAATTGACACCACTTTGTCTTTGCGCCTCTTTTTCTTTTCTTTTTTTCTTTTTTTTTCAATCCTTTTTTTTTTTTTTTTTTTTTTTTGCTTTTCCAGGGGGGGGGGGGGCAAGTGCCCCCCCCCCTTGCCCCCCCCCCCCCCCCTCGCGACGCCCATGAATGTAGGCTACAATTTTTATTCGGGACGAAAAAAGTGGGGAGTGGACAAACGATACCCGGATATCCCCCCGCCCCCCAGTTAAAAAAAATTAAACGCGGGGAACATCCCCCGTCCCCCCCCCCCCCCCCCCCCCCCCCACCAATATCGACGCCCACGATGGCGACTGAAATTATTGTGCAGCTTCTGGAAAAAATCAGATGAATTTTTTGACAATCTTAGATTGTCTCTCAAAAGTTTAGATCAAAAGTGAAGTATAGGCCTACTTTTGTAAAGCTAATATTTTATTAGGCAGAAGATTTTATTATCATTACCAAATAGAAACCTTCCAATAAAAAATCAAGCTACTATCTGTTTCTACGCCGTTTTTGACGGGTTTTCAGTTACAACGTACAGCCTATATACTCTCATATTATATCACTTGCAAAATCTATGCAGAGTGCACCGCGGCAATTAGGTCTTAATTAGGAAAATCAAAAATATAGTGGTTCGAAATTGGCTGGGTCTACAAAATCTACCGGACAGTGTCATCATAAAAACACAAATAAAGTCTCTCAGAAAAAAAAGGTATCGGCAGCAGCGGCGTGATTATTAATTATTTTAATATTGCAGATGGGTAGTAGAGGGCGCCATTCAACATGGCGGAAAAGGCAGACGACGTTTCCGACGCACCGAAGTTGTCTGAAATTTTCGAAGATTCTTGGCGAATTCAGCAAGAGCTTGAAATTTCTGATGAACCAACAAATTCTAAGTCTTATCAGGTGATAACAAATTGTCAAAATATTTTATTTAACATTAATTTGCAGAAGATTTACCCGTAATAATGACAGTTGTGTAAATTCGTGTAAATTCGTTTTAGGACCTATTTGTACACGAACGGCGCGATCGATAATGCTTGCGCTTGCACATGATGCAGTACTAGTAGTACTACTAGTTTAAGTAACTCCAGCTCCATGCTTAAGCATTGGAGCTGGAGTGGAAAAATGTTGCAACCTGACGCCACTTTTTTTCATATATCATCACAATGCAACCTGACGCTACCTCAGCGATTATGTACAAAGTCTATGAAGAGTCAAGAAAATTTTCTAAATATTTATTAACAAAATTAGATAGATTTCTCACTCAGTCTGGATTCATGTCTCATCATCATTTTGGGCACAATTGCAGAATACCCCACCACTCGATCTATGCACCTCGTAGCCGGCTACGGAGTCACGGTTGATTGCCCTCAATAAACCTTCTCAGCGCGACATGTATGTACTATGCGTCATGCTCCACTGCACTCCCACTCCGTATCCGCGTAGCCTGCAACAGGGTAGTTGGTTTGGACTTCGAATTTTTTCAGCAACTCCCATTACTTTTGTGTTGCTTCGTTCTCAAGCATTATAAGGACTCCCACTTCGTATCCGCGTAACCGCCAACAGGGTAGTTGGTTTGGACTTCGAATTTTTTCAGCAACTCCCATTCATTGTGTTGCTTCGTTCTCAAGGGGACCCCCACTCAGTATCCGCGTAGCTGGCAATGGACTTGAGTTGTTTCTTTTCAAGTGATTCCAACCTCGTAGCCAGAGAATTTAGGGTTGTATTTCCGTGTGGCGGGGTATTCTGCAATGACTCCCATTTTTGCAATGACTGACCTTCATTGACATGATATATGGAGAAAAAAGCAGCATCAGGTTGCAACATTCTTTCCAGGTCATTCATTGCAAAAATGATGATAAGACATGAATCTGGGACTGAGAAATATTGGTAATCCTTACTTTTAGGACTCCATTCCTATATAAGACTCACCAAAAGAGCTGACTAAATGACACTCAAAAGTGACATTCTGATATTTCTTGTCATATATCTGAACAGTATGACACCTTCTTGAATATCAGCAGGTTTAATTTTGTGGATAAAGACTGGCAGGGCTTTGATTTTAAAGGGAAATTAAGGAAGAAAGACGACGATGACGAACCGAAAACTGACTCAAAAACCAAGATATGCAAAAATGCGCCTTGCGCTTTCACGGTACATCATGTACATCGCACTGTGATCGCCAATTTTCTTGTCGCGTTTTTTTTTAAAGGCAAATAAAATCCGAGAACCATTTGGTTGATACGTGATAGGCCTAGTCTGGTTCCAAGAGCCAAAGATCCTGACGTTGAATACTATAGGTCAGGCGGTTGATATAGATTCGCAATTGTGTTTTTGCAATGCCGTAACAATAGCAGTTGAAAATTGCGTTACAGCTGCTGTAACTATAGCCACTGCCTTGTTTGTCTTAATATTGCGAAGACAACTTTATCCATAGACAACAGTTTAAATGTTAACTAACGTTAGTCGTTGTTTCTACTCATGATTAGTTCAACCTGAGTGAAGAGAAAAGAACTGTTTCAGACTGACTGATAACATCATTCATAATGGATTTGTTGTATTTGGCAAGGATGCACTGCACAAGGCCATCAAGATGTTAGAGCAAGCCACAGTCATGGTCAGTCAATTGAACCTGTTCAGCTCTAATGAAGAACTGGAAGAATTGCCAACTACAGATATACGGTGAGTGGGAAAGACTCTTGCATCCTGACGCCACTTTTTTTTTCATCATACATTATCTCAACAAAAGTCAGCAACTGCAGAAATGTTGAATGAAAAGGCATGAATCTGAGACTGACATTTCCAATTTTGTGTTAGAAAATACTTTGATTTTACACTCGACTCTCCATAGACTTTGTACACAACCAAAGAAGTTTGCGTCTGGATACTACATTATTTCTGGCGAGTGAATGCTGTCCAACCTCCTGCAGATTAACCTTGTCCCTAAATCAAAACTCAATTCCAAAGAAAAATGGAATGCCCTCCAAGCAATTTTCTGAAAAGAAGTTTGTAATGTCTGCAGATTCATTGAGGGTTAGATATTTGAGTTAAATTATTAAGTCAAGAAAATATCTTTTTCCTGTGTCCCCAGATACTTACTTCTGCCTGCGTTACTAGGCAGCCTCACCCTCAAGCTGACGGGGGAAGACAGACTAGCAGTGGTGGAACGCAGCAAGACGTATTTCAAAGACTTCCTCCGACGATGCAGACAGTATGGTGTGACTGAAGAGGTGGGTCACTGTGGGTTTAACTTGGGCGCTAAGCTCAGACAAGGTTAGCTTAGCAAAAAAAGAATACCAGCCAACATATCATGAGATGTATATTGGGTGTGACTGGTTACCGGG